ACGTGTGGTGATGCCAACTACAGCAGCATTGATGGGACCAGAACTTGGCTGAAGCGTTTCACTTCTGTGTGGGTCTGTCTTTGGGAACATGGCAGTTTGAGAAGAGCAAGGCTGGATTAGTCCTGTGGTGTCTATTATACAGTATTGGGAGGTTTCTTAACCTTGAGCACTTAGCTCAGCTCACACCCAAAGCAAGAAATTTAGGCCCTCTTCCCATGCTCATGTTATCATTGACTATTGAGACCTCTGAAGAGTGTTGTTCAGAGATAACTTAATCCTGTCCTTGAATCTCCAGGGCAATGACTTCCACTTTCTCTCTGTCTCTCTTTTAGGATGCTGGAAGAGGAAAAGGACAAAGAACAGCGAGATCGAGTTTGTTCTGATGATGAGGAGGATGAAGAAAAGGGAGGGAAGCGTGTCGTGGGACCACGAAAGAAATTTCAATGGAATGATGAAATCAGGTTTGCATAATTTAGATATTAAGTGAACCTGTGACTTGTCTTATTCTATGCAGTTGGAAGTGAAGCATTTTGGTATTTGTGTCTTGTTTTCAGAGCAGCACTGATCATCTGCAGTAACAGCCAGCTTGGAGGTTTGTGGCACACTGCTGTTTACAGAAACCACTATTGCATTTATTAAATCTAACCCTTATATACATTGCAAAATTATGATGATTTCAGGCACAGGCCAACTCTGAGATGAGTGCTAAGAAGCCTCTGTGCAGAGGCCAAAAGAGAGGGACAGATCTTTGGGAAAGAAGGAACTCGTCTGAATTGCTGAAATCCTACAGTCTAGACTCTTAACAGACCAGATTCTGGTTGTGAAAGCAGTGAAAGCTAATGGGGATTGCTGCCCTGGCACCCGGGGTCTGACAAAGACCAGGGTGCTGGGTGAAGGGGAGAATGACAAAGGATAAAATGAGAATCAATCCTGCTGTCTTTTTCATCTTCTTCTGTAACAAATTGGGGTGCTGCTGTGTAGATGGCTGATTTGTTTAGAACAAAGCAAGCGTCGCTTCCTGCCTTCCTTCTCATTGCCTCTCAGCACGGAGGTGTGCTGAGAGGTTCAGTTCTGCGGTTGTTAATGAGGCCTGTAATTCTGGCATGAGTTTACTACCTCTGCTGTTTCAGGAGATGAAAATGGGAAGGGGTAACAAGGCTTTTCTCCACTGGCGCATCGGTGTGCGTGCACACAGAGAGCGAGGAACGTGCCTTTCCCTTCCTCTTTCTTGCCAAGGCAGCGCAGGGTCGGTTTTATTAGCAAGGTGTTATGCAGAGCCAGGCATGTCTTGGTGTATTTATCCAGCTCTGGATAAACAGAGTGACCTCGAACTGGGGAACATTAATGCGCGTAACTGTATTTGAAATCTTCCTGTTCTTCAGGGAACTGCTTTGCCACTTGGTGAAGATTAAGTTGGATGGTTATGACCTTGACAAGAATAAGGCTCAGTCTCTAGAGGATTATGTGAAGACCTTCCTAGATGGAGAGGTGAAGCCCCTTTGGCCAAAAGGCTGGATGCAGGCCAGGTGAGCAAGAATCAAGTTGTACTGCAGGGATTCCATGTCATAAGGGACCTCAGAAGGTCATTAGTCCTACCCCTGCTCAAAGAATGGCTAGCTTCAAAGTTAGATCTGAGTGCTCAGGGCCTTGTCCTGTGGAGTTTTTGAAATTTCCAAGGATGGAGATTACCACAGCATCTCTGGGCCCCTGTTCCAGTACTTAAGCACTCTTCATGAAATCTTTTCTCCTTGTTTCCAATCAGAATTTCCCTTGCTGCACTGAACTGAATATTCCGTCTTTTTGCTTTTTACTGTGTACCTTTGAGGAAGGTCTGACTCCATCTTCTTTGTGGCTCCCTGTCCCCCATACTCTTTAGGTAGTGGAAGACTGCCATTAGATCCCTCCTTGGTCTTGTCGTTTTCCAGGCTAAGCAAACCCAGTTCCCTCAAGCTCTCCTTGTCTGTCACGTGTCCCTGTTCTTCAGCTGTCGTAGTGGCTCTGGACTGTCTCCAGTTTGTCGGCATCTCTCTTGTATTGTAGGGACCCTGAAAATGGATGCTGTATCCAGATGTGACCTCACAAGTGCTAAACAGAGGGAAGTAAGCACTTGAACTGCTGGCTGTGCTCTTGCTAATACCTACCAGTATATAGTTAGCCCTCAGCAGTACACCCTTGCAGCAGTGGCTCATGTTCAGCTTGCCCACCAGGACCCCCAGGTCATTTTCTGCAAGGCTGCTACGTAGTCAGTTGGCACCCGGACTGTATTGCTGCGTGGGATTACTCCATCCCAGCTGCAGGACTTTGCATTTGTCATTGTTGAACTTCAGAGGGGTTGTGTTGGTCCCTTTCTCCAACCTGTCCAGGTCCCTGTGAATGGTGGCCCTGCCCTCCAACATACTCTCCCACCTCCCTCTGTTCTCACGTCACCCTCGGACTTCCTGGGAGTGCAGTCTGTGCTGTCGTCCAGGTTGTAAATGACAGTGTTGAGTAGTCTTGGGCCCCGAATTGACCTATGATGGATGCCATTGGCAGTGACAATTTACAAGGTTGAACTGGGACTGAGGTGAGGCTGACTGGCCTGTGGTTTCTTGACTCTGTATTACAAAAGATCACTTTGTAATCTGTCTCGCAAAGGATGCATTTTTTGAGACGCTTTGGGAAGTCTTCCTAGAGTATTCGCAAAAGAAAGCAAAGCAGAAAGTTTTAGGGGTTTACGTACTTGCACTAGACACATCAGAGATTCAGCAGAGTAAGTAGGAATTTGGTGTGGTTTTCTTTACCCTATCTGGTGTCTTCACTGCTGTTTCCTGTTCTTTCACGCCCTCTATCATCCATGCCATTGAGCTGGCAATTGCAGAGCGCCATACAAATTGCAGGCATTCTACTGGGACTGTCATCTGCTTCTGATCCGCTTTGTTTTGCTCGATGGTTCTAAAGAAAGGACCACTGTACAGCCTTACTGCTGGAGTCTCTATCTCTTTGCATTTAGAGAGCTCGGCAGCGCTGTCATCTTCTCTCTGCTGAATTTGCTTTTCGGGTTTCATGGGGGATAAAGGAAGAAGTAGGTACAAGTTCTTAAGAGCAGTAAGTATGAGTAGCACGTTACAGATCCATTTTGAAAAGTCTGTGGCTGTTTATCACAGTTGCGTGTGCACATGAAGTACAGTAATGTGCATGGTTGTAGTGTGTTGTTGTAGCATACAGGAGCTGAATGATGGTGTTAGGAGGTGGGTGCAGAGTCCTACATAGTTAATGAAGCTATTACCAGCTTGAGGGTCTTAGCTTGCCAAGTTTTAAAAACTCTTTTTCTTTGAATAAAAGGCAATGAAAATCTTTTGCCCCTAGTTTGTAGGTGAAACTGTTCTTAGGCATAGAGATGTTCACTTAAGACTCACCGTAGAAGGACCTTCCAGTGAAGTTAACTACAGAATGACTGAATAAAAGCAGTTTTCCTGGTTGCTTTCCAATGGCTCAAGGACAATGGTTTATCCTGCTGGGACTTGATGGAGTTGAACTTGATCTTTATGGGTCCCTTCCAACTTGAGATATCCTATGATTCTGTGACTTTGTGTTTAAAGACAGAGGGTAGACTGACAGCCAGACAGAAGGGGAGGGATTGGCAACACTAGGAGAATTGTAAACAATTTTATGGACAAGTCAGCTTGATTCACTGTCATAGTGATCACAGAAGTTCATCTTTAAGAGGAACTTGAGGATGGACAGAGTAGCAACTTTGTGTATGAGTTCAGAGAAGCCCTGCCATGATTCTGTTTCTCGGCACTAAAGGGCGATTAACAGAATATAGGGTTAAAATAAGCTTGCTTTTTAAGGGAAAAAAGGATGACAAAAGTCTTTGTCAAGCTGTTATTAGCAGACAGGAAGCATATTCCAGATGCCAGTACTGAAAATGTATTTATAAGCTTCTCACCCTGACATATAAGATGACAGCTGAGTGGCAGCTGTTTTAGGTGAAATAGTGTTTGTCTGAGATTCTGGTTTACTTAGCCTCAGTAGTAAAGGGGTTTGGGTGAAGCTCTGCCTATTGGTTGCAGTTAGTCAATTGTTACGGAAATGGTTGTGCTGATTTAAGAAGTCACTTCAACTGTTTGCTGGGGACGCGAAGGCAGCAGAGACATGCAATGTGCGAAGGCTTCTCATCCATATTGCTGTATTTGAGGCAGGGGAAGGTAACCTTTTTCCCTTGAAGTTCATGAAGAGCTCTTGTATGATCTGCCAGCTCTTGGATGATCTGTGGCAGCAGCAATGCCCAGCTTGAATGATTGTACTGCTTCTCCAGTTGGCTGTCAGCTTTTTAAACTGGCAGAGCTTTTTCCTTAGTTATTGTCCAACAGCTGCCTTAATGGCCTTTCCAGCGCCTACAAGTGTAGGTCCCCAGAGGGGGAATTATGTGGGGGAGTTCAGGAGGATTTTCCTGGAAAAGGGATGAATATTTGTTTGCTCTCTGTGGTTTTAATTTCACTAAGTCCCCTGCTGTACTGTGCAGCTCTGTCTCCAGTGATCCCAGCTGCTCTACTGGGTCTTGCTGGAAATCACTTCTCATTGCTCTCTTCCCTTCTTAGGACACTGTTTAAGGAGAGCAGGCGTGTACATGGACACCTCACATCAGTCCTGTGAGTATCGCGCAGCATTCCTTTGGAGTGATAACTGGTGAACTCCGTTCCCTGGGGCCTGGGTGGATCATGCAGGAGCACCTGAGCTTGCTTGGCTCCCATCAGATTTGGCGCTGCTTCGTTTGGGGAGTTCTAGGGAGAGTAGTTGTTTGTGTGTGACATCTCCCAACAACAGCCTTCCTGAGGTGCTTTAGCCTTACAGTAAGCTCAAAGATAAGAACTTGGAAGCCAGGTTGCCTCCTGGCCTCATTCAACAGACTGGAGTCAGGCCTCTGTGCTAGTCCCTGGGAGGCAGATCAAGGTAAAATGAAGTGTGGTGCCAGCACTGTGACTATTGCTACCTGTTCAGTCGGTCCTTACCGGATTATGGACTCCCTCTTTCTTGTTACCTCGTTAAAGGAGGAGCGCAATGAGCTCGAGTTAGTGAAGATGGGCGCAACAGGCTTGTGGGTGGCAAACCAAGAGAGCCATCAGAATCCAGCTGGGCAGGTGCTTTAATGCCAAAGGGTCTCATGGATCTTGCTGGCAGTCTGTAATAGATGAAGGTACGGACTTAGGCTGATGTCTGTTTGACCAATGGTCCTGTTCTTGGCACTGGAGAGTGAGGGTAAGTGTGAAAAAGAGTATGAAATAGAGTGTAGAGTCATCCTTCCCTCAGCCATACTGTTGCAGCAGTTCAGGGGTGTCTTGTACCAGAGATTGCATCTGACCAGACCAAATGATCTATTTTCTGTGAATTTGGCAGATGCTTTTGCATCCTTGACTTCTTCTGGGAACCTAAAAGAAATATGTAACTTTTCTCCAAAACAGTCTCTGTACTGGTTTCTCTCTGGGTGTTGCTGTAGTTAGGTCAGCAGCGGGTTCTTTTAGTAGCTCCTAACCCTGCAGCTGGTGCAGGATGTGTCTGTTAAGTGCTTTTGCTGCTCTGCTACCATTTCAAGACTCTGCTCTGCTCCCTAATTCATTCCCCTGTGTGGGAGTCGGGGCTTCCTAGAGCAGCAGCCAAATGTCATATGGTTTTGAATCCTAGCAACCCGAGATGCTGCCTCTGTTCCCTCGATTCTTTGCAAAAGACTCAGTGGATCATCATTAACAGGGCCCAAGTGTGCTCCCTAATTGGATGCTTCCCTGTGGGTATTCAGTGAGCCATGTTTCTTTTGTCTCCCTCAAAACAGGGCGAAGAAGAAAGTTATAGCTCCTACTAAGGTGAAAGTGAAGGTGAGTTCTTTGTTTTTCAGTTCTCACGGTTGACATATACCAAGAGTCAAGCAATTGCCATCTTAAACCCTATATTTGAGCCTTGTATCTATACATTAGGTACAAGGAAGTTGTACTGTGAAATAGCTCTAGTCAGTATTGGGCTTGAAAAAAACAACTAGAACAGCAGCAAAAACTGATGGCAGCCACAGTTGGGAGGGAGGTGGGGTGCCAGCAGGCACAGAACATGCTTATTCTGCCTTTTATCCCCAAATCGGGAACCTTCCCTTCCCTTTGCAGCAGTAAACTCTGCCTCTGTTCTGACTCTGCCTTCTCTTGTGATTTTGTTCCAGGAATCTTCCTGCAAGCCAGATAAAAAGACATCCGTTTCTGTTCCTTCAATGCAGTCAAGCAGCACCTTAGCTCTTTCTTCAGAGCCCCAGGGAGGATCTCTGGGCGTGAGTGCCCAAACCAGGGAACTCTTGTCCCTTGGGACAGCCCAAGCAGCCAGCAGCACTGGCACTCCTGCTGCCTTCATGGACAACTCCTTGGATGAGGACTTAATTCATAATCCCACTTCCTCCCTCGACGCAGTCTCTAAGGAACTGGCTGTGCTGAACAGCAGAGCAGGAGGGAGCCCTGACTTTACTCTTCCTGGAGCTCCAAAAGCTCCACCAGAGAAGATTCCAGCTCTTACATCCTCAGAGGAGAAGAGGACATTTCCAAAGTCCAACCCTTCCCCTACATCATCCTCTGGTTCCCTCCAGTCTCCTCTGAACTTCCTGGCTGAGCAGGCCCTGGCATTGGGCCAGTCTTCTCAAGACAAAAAGACAGAGAACTCTAATTACAAAGAGCTCTCCTGCCAAGCCTCCCCCAGCAAAATCCTTCCTGATGCACACCAGGCTAAACAGAAACACCACAACCTGGTCCGGCCAAGCCATGGGCCTCAGGCCTCCACCCCAGTGCTGGGTTCTCAGGTGAAGGTCTTTCACTCAGGCAGTCAGCTACAGAAAACTTTCACCTCCCCAGCTCCATTTGTCAAACTGCAGAATCCCAAGTCCTCCTCACCACTGCCCCAGCGCTCTCTCCTCCAGCCAGTCAAGTCAGCAACCAAAGCTCAGAGCTTCCATTCCTCTGTGTCACCAGGCAGCACCCAAAACTCCAGCAGCTCCCACAAGAGCCCAGGCTCATCCTCATCATCTCTCAGCTACACAGGAAAGCACTCAAGTGGTTCTAGCTCTTCAGGACAATCTTACAAATCACCCTTCGTTTCTGGTTCCCTCTCCAAGCACGGGACTTCTTCCGGCAGCTCCTCATCTGGAGCTTCTGCAAACCAGGGCTGCTCCTCTGGGAGCTTGCTGCCCAATGTGCAGACCCCTTCCGTGGGCCAGGCGTCCAGCCGCCCGTCCTCGAGCTCCTCAGTGAAGAAGACACCTGTTTCGCAGAAGCTGACTCTGGTGGCACCTCCTGGAGGTTCAAACGGAGATTCTAGCGGGGGCACTCAAGGGGTGGCCAAATTGCTGACCTCCTCCCTGAAGCCAGCTGTTGTTAGCAGCACTGCATCTTCTACCTCTGTGCCGGTAAGCGGGAGTGTGCTGCCCAGCCTAAAGCCAGCAGGACGTGTGGCATTGTGTCAAACCATCTCCTAATTTGTTCAGACCTGTCGTAAAGCAATGACTTCAGAAGAATTTCCTGAAATTCTTGAATGACTGTCTGGATCTTGGCTGCTTAGGCTAGGAGGTCCTGGCCTTTGCCATAGGCTTGCACTCCACAATTGAAGCTTTCATTTTCAGCTTAACATAACAACTTAGCAAAATGTTGCGGTACCTTCCAGACTGCAATTTTTGCATAGGCTGTGTAATGTTCCTGCCCTGACTTTGAGAGTTATGGGGACAATAGGGCTCCCATTTGGGTCAGGAGGAAGTGCAGTAAGGCAAGTTATCACGAGAGCTAAAAATCATTGCATGAACTAAAATTATAATGATCAATTTGTTGTTAATTAGGTGTGCAGACTTGGTTTCCCTTAAATTATTGCAAGACATTTTAGTAGTATTGCCACTTTTTTCATGACTAACCTGTAGAATAAATAACTTATGATACTGGGATATAAACTCAAAATGCCTACCCAGCTTGCTTTGGTGCTTATCTCTGTCTGCTTTATGTTGCTCCCCCATTACTCCTGTAAGCTGCTGAAGTGATGTTTGGAATCAAGCTCAGTGGCACACTGCAGAATTCAGAGTCTGATGGTTTGTTGCGGTATAATGTCTCATGAAGGACTCCTGGGTTACCTATACAGACTTGTTATTCAGCTATTGTGCTTAATGGTATAAGGGCCTTAATTTTTATTTATAGCTGTTGTATTAATTTGTTGTTGGCTGCTCATACCTGCCGCCTTCTGTGGCATGTGGAAAGAGCTGGGCAATTAATGAATATATTTAAATGGGCCTGAAAACAGTGTATGGTTCAGCCTGTGTACCTTGTCTTTTACTGAGATAGAGAGCTGAAAAGCATTCTGCAGTGGTGTCTCTCTCCATGGGAGATATCTCAAATAACATTCTTGAGTGGAGGAGTACACCAAACCTCTGTGCCTTGAGTTGTCAACAGTGATACGCTGCCAAAAATGAGTAGGAAACGTCCTCCCTGGAACTCGCAGACAATGTGTAAGCTTTTCCTCTGCCTAATGGAGGCGCAGTTCCAGAGTAAGGGAATAACAGAATCAAATCCGGTGCAGTCACGTTTAGAAGAGCATAGCATCCAGCAGCTGGATTGCCAGGGTCCTGGGCACCTCCAGATGACCTCAAGAGTTGGCAGGTCTTGTGCCCTGGCTGGCAGGGTGCTTCTTGCAAGGAGGAATTCTTGAGCGCTCTGTGTTTTGCAGATCTTCTTTAAGTATGAATGATGCCATGCTTTGGTTTTCCCACTCCTGCCTGACCTTTTCTTTTCCTTTTCAGAAAGGAACTAGTGGAGCTGTGCTGCTAACGAGTTCTTCCTCCTTAAGTGTACTGGCTCCATCCTACAAGTCCAGCAATCCAAAGCTGCCAGCTGCCCTGAGCTCTACCCCGTTAGGTATTATCTCTCCTATTCATTCCTTCCCTCTTCATGTCATCTCCTTCAGTTCAGACTCCTCCCCAAAAGCAGGAGTATCAAAGGATGCAATAGTTACGGGACCTGCTCCAGGAACTTTCCACCACGGCCTTGGCCACAGTGAGTATCCTCCTGGTCACACGTGTGTGCGTTACTTGTGCCTGTGCTGGCAAATAACAAGAACACTAATGCTCTGCTGTGTTAACCCATTGCAGACCAACCCATCTCTCTTGCTGTTGCTTCACACTGTAGTTCATGTACTCATATCTCCAGCAGTTGCATTGGAAGAACCTTGGGCACATCCCTATATCTAGCCCAGAAGACCCAATAGCTGGAAGCTGAGCTGTAGGCTAACTGCTGCAGCTCCTCTGCTTGTTTCTGTCTTCGA